CCGTCCTCGCAAGCGATCGCACTGCAGTTGCGACATGTCGTGTCTGACGTCCCGTTACACGAAATGCTTTCAAATTGATTATCTGAACAACTTTGAGCAAGACGTACATCGACCTGCAGCAAGACCTAAGCCGAAAAAAAACCCCAAAACTATACAAGTACCACTGATAACAAACCCATGTGGACACAACGAAAAAACGAGCAGCTCGTCCCGCTATACCCCTCGTAGCAGTCGCACTCCCCCGTCTAGCCCCGTTTGCACCGCCCGTTCCCGCTGCAGTTCTTGAGCATGTCGCACTCCTCCGTGCAGCTCGCTCCGTACGAGTTCCTCCCGCACACTCCTCCTCCCCCTCCTCCTCCCCCGCCCGTCCCCTCTGAGCAGCTCGTCCCGCTATACCCCTCGTAGCAGTCGCACTCCCCCGTCTGCCCGTTGCACCGCCCGTTCCCGCTGCAGTTCTTGAGCATGTCGCACTCCTCCGTGCAGCTCGCTCCGTACGAGTTCCTCCCGCACACTCCTCCTCCCCCTCCTCCGCCCCCGCCCGTCCCCTCTGAGCAGCTCGTCCCGCTATACCCCTCGTAGCAGTCGCACTCCCCCGTCTGCCCGTTGCACCGCCCGTTCCCGCTGCAGTTCTTGAGCATGTCGCACTCCTCCGTGCAGCTCGCTCCGTACGAGTTCCTCCCGCTCCTCCTCCTCCTCCTCCTCCGCCCCCGCCCGTCCCCTCTGAGCAGCTCGTCCCGCTATACCCCTCGTAGCAGTCGCACTCCCCTCGTCTGCCCTCTGAGAGCAGCTCGTCCCGCTATACCCCTCGTAGCAGTCGCACTCCCCCGTCTGCCCGTTGCACCGGCCGTTCCCGCTGCAGTTCTTGAGCAAGTCGCAGATCAAATTACAGCCAGTTGCATATTGGTTTCTTGCGCAGATTGACTGTGGGAGGGCTTTGGATGTATTGAATGTCATGTTGAATTGAATGGTAATTGTCGTGTTAGTTCTTGGATACAAATTTTGTTCTGTCACATTGCTGGCCTAAGATAGAGTATTTTCAAAAATCAAAGTTGTTGTGAAAGGATTGGAAAGATTTTACCTGGTTGAGGTTGAAGATTCCGAGAAGCAGCAAGATGGCGAAGGAGATTCTCAGTCTGAGAGGATTCCTGCGTTGGATGGGATTAGTACATTTGTATCTCAGCAGCTGTGAGAAACAGAGTGTTCAACCACACTGAGGAAACTGATTTTTCGGTTCCGAACCTTACTAGCACCGGGACAGCACAGAACAAAACCGCAAAGATAGAGCAAGCAGCATGTTCGCTCACCATATAATCCTTCGATGTTCGTTGATTCCTCGCCTCCGCCCTCTCTGCCGCTGGTCCCGCCCAATATCTCGCATACCCCCTTGCATTGCGCGCCCACTTATCTATCAACTTCCAAGGAAGTTAAAAATATTTTTGCTTGAATCTATTGAGATTACACTTATTTTTAACCCAAAACTTTCTAAATAGCATACCTCAATGTAAATTATGTATAATTCGCCCTAATTTAACCGTTTTACTTGTAATTTAGCAACTTTGTCCCCCACGGTGACTACACAGTACTGCAAAATAAACACATTCCACTTAAAATTAACTAAACTGTCTTGCGCCTGCCCCTATCTTCCGTTGTCATCATCCCTCATGCCGCCGGGCCGACCCGGCAGCGGGCGGGCCTACTAGACTCACGGCCGGGTGCAACCGTCCGACTCGGTGAGTCACACGGGGCCGAGGTGACGGAGCACAAGTGCTCAAGACCGAGTTTAATGCACACGAAACCAGAATTGAGGAGCATATGACAGATAGACGGTATGCTAGGACATAAAACCCAAGCCGCATCCAGACATGAGAGGACCTTAGCAAGACGGCTAGGAAAGCCCCCTCTTCGTCACACATGCTACATGGCCGCCTTGAAACACGTAAGTCGTCTTGGTTTACAGGAGAGTTTTTGTTAACTCGGCGCTATCTGACTGGCACGGCTGGCATACGATCCATCACGAGGCCTGGTGGAGTCAGTCCACAGCGATAGGGCCGCCCCGCTGGCTGCACTGCTTGTGTACTGCTTCAGCACTGCGGCACAGGTAGGCCGCGTAGTAGCGGCTACCGCAGGCCCGGACAGCGCCAGTCCGGCTCGGAGGACACTCAGGGACTTGAATCATGCAGAGATGTCTCGGATCCTTCCTCTCCATGTCTACTAAACAAGAAGTTAAAAGGTCCAAGGTAACCTTGAGTCAGAGCCTGGTGGTCAAACGTGGCCAGAGGCAATCAAACAAACTGAAAACTACTCCAGCTCATCACTCTGCTGGTTGATTTGACTCAAAGGCTTGACTCTCATTCGACTCCCGCGCCTCGGACTCCTTGTCATGCTTCCACTGACAGACTCTTCCCCTCCCCTCCCCTCTCCTCTCCTCCCCTTCTCGTCTCCTTCCTCCCCTCCCCTCTCGTCTCCTTCCGCTCTCCTCTCGTTTATCTACTCCCTCCGCTTTTCCTCCCTTCCCTTCCCTCCCTTCTTTATCTTCCCATTGTGCACCTTTGCCAGTTCATCCTGCAAGTCCGCTGATGCCTGCAGCACTGAAAGTCAAGCGCGGACAGGAGCGAAGGAGAAGCCAACTTTGACACTTCAGCCTTGAGCGACGAGATCGTCTGCAGTGCAAGAGCTCAGCTACTCACAGCTCCTGCCTCTCCTCTGCTCTCCTCTCCTCTCCTCTCCTCTCCTCTCCTCTCCTCTCCTCTCCTCTCCTCTCCTCTCCTCTCCTCTCCTCTCCTCTCCTCTCCTCTCCTCTCCTCTCCTCTCCTCTCCTCTCCCCCTACCGAGTTGAATTGTGCGTTGCGAGAGCAGGAAGTCTTGCTGATTCTGTCGTTCTCTTGCTGCGAGAGCGGTAGTCAGCTCCGACTTCGATGCCGAGATCCTCCACCTCCAGTTCCTTCACGGCCGCTGTCAAGCTCTCCACCTGCTCTTCCAGCTCTTTGACGCGATCCTACTAGGAGTCAGAGCGGCTCGACGGCTTTTCAGCTTTGCCTTCATGTGATCCTCCTTCTTTGCCCAACTCGCCCGCGATGCAGAGAGCTCCTGGTCCTGCTTCTTCATCAGAGCTGTGAGCTCCTTTTCATGCGCAGCCTCCATCTGCATCAACGGTTGACAGATGTCGTCACGCCTCATCCCTTGACCTCGGCCTTGTTGTCTGCTGCTTCTTTCCTGATATGCCGCAACTTCTCTTCCACTGTGGAGCAGGAGCGTGAGAGACATCGAGGGGCAGGAGACTGTCACATGTCACAAGCTGATCTCTCATATTCTCGCATTCTATCTCCGTCGAGGCATAATGTTCCTTGAGGCTCGAGATCTCAACGATGCCGTCACGTCTCAGTCTTGCATGCAAGATTCACCTGTGTGCTCAGCGTTGCAACTTTCCTTTTCTCGATGGCGAATGCCTCCTGATAGAGCAGTTCAGTCCCATCCACGTACTCAGGGTACCACGATACCTCAGCGCGCATGGCGCGGAGCTTCTCCTTGTCAATCGACTATAGCCGACAGAAGTGGATTGTCGTGCTCGTTATGTTTTAGTAAACGCAGCAGTGATTGCTCTGGTGCTCTCCCACATTCCTGAAGGTTGTGTATACAACACATCTTTCTTTATTCACATTTTTTATGTTAATGCTTGTTGTTGCAGATAATTTTATACAACTAGTTTTTGGTTGGGAAGGCGTTGGATTGTGTTCGTATCTATTAATCAATTTTTGGGCGACTGGAGATCAACCTATGTCTGCCCTTGCGGGGTTCTCAGGTGAAAACTCAGCTGGAAGGGAGTTGGATTGATTGTGACGCAGGCTGACATGGACAGAGCCTCTTTCGTACAGATCGGGCTTGTGCCGGTCTGACATACAAGGACGAATGGGAACTGCACAACGAGCAACGAAGAACCTCACAAACTCTAGACATTCATTACATCGCCTTATAAGCGTCATTACCTCACTACGAGATATTACGAGCTGAGAAAGGATACATTTCATCATCCGAATCTGTATGGCCCTCTGCCGTCGCTCTTCCCGCTCGGTTCTCACTCGTCAAAGCTTCAACAGTCTGAGCGTCTTCCGTGCCCTCGATGGTCTCAGCTGCGCTCTGTCCTACCTGCTGCGACTCTTCGCTCTTGACATCCGGGTTTACAGGAGGGATGGAGAAGGCAACCGTTGTGACAGTGGAGGTGTAGATAGCCTCCTGCACTTGGGCGTTGGCGCCTCCAGCACGATGGCACGTCCAGCAGCGAGCTTTCGGTCCTCGCCTGCAGTATGTACAAGCAAAGCACATGCACATCGTTCCCGCTATGCAAGGAAGGACACAGATCAAGACCACATTGATAGACGAACTGATCTTTCCTTCTGCTGTTGGTGGAAGGGGCGTGGTGGACAGCGGCAAGGTGGTCTCCTGTGGCGCGTAGGATAGCTTGGTTGTAGCTGCTTCAGTTGTCCCATCGACATACGGGCCAGACGTCGAAGCAGTTTGAGAACCTCCAACAAGGTACACGGACACTGAAGGATATTCCAAGATCTGCACATTCTGAAGCCCTTGTCCTCTCAGAGCCTCTAGAAGCTTCTCTGACCCCAGGTTAGATTGCACGCTCTTCCATTCCGCGTTCAGCTCAAGGAAGACTTGATAGCCCACATCGTACTCTACAGCCAGTGCCCGACGAGCTCCATGCACCTCCCGTATGTACGTGATGTTCACGCTACTGCTGTTAACCCCTGCTGCTGCCGCCAACCCCAATATGAACTTTCCTCTCATAGTCTCATTCAGGCTGCTCCCCACCCGCACTGCTCCTGTCAGCACGAGCAACTTCGTCCCAGTTGCTGTCCCGTCAGCCGTGTCGATGCACACAGCGTCTTGCGACGCCGAGTTCTCCCCACAGCTCACGAGCTGGCGCTGGTTTGCTCCACACCTCGTGCATGCGACACAGCTACCTCTGCCTCCCCCGCCGCACGCTGATCTGCGGTAGTCTTGGTTGCAGTACAGCTGAGAGCAGGCGGCGCATCGTCGGTTCGCGGAGGGCGAGCAGTCCGTCAGCATGTACTCGCTCTGCGTGCACGTGGAACACGTCAGGCACTCTCCCCGGGACCCGTTGCCGCAGCCAGACAAGTACTGTCCTCCAGTGCAGTTCTTGCTCATCAACTCACAGTCGTACGTCTGAAACTCGCCGACCGCTATCACTGTTACACCTTGGAACGTGGCCGGCTGCTGGGCTAGCCTCCTTCGAGCCCCTGGTACTCCGACCGAGCATCGACAAGTCACCGTTCCAGCCGTCAGGTCCACCCCTTCTACACTGCACCCGCTGTCTTCAAACCCTCCGTTGCTCCACCACACACATCTCGCCACCAGCACAGACTGTGACGCAGTCACGACGGCCGTCCGGCTCACCGGCATCACGATCGAGACTTGAGATATCGGGTTGCTCACTGACATGGAAACTCCTACCAGCGGTGTGAGTGGAGTGGATCCGTTCACTGGACCGCTCACAGCTCCGTACATGTGAGCTCCTACTGTTACTCGCCCCGTCACTCCCGTCTGACCAGACGAGTATCGAAACGAGGCGTTCTTCGCCTGAAACATGCCCATCAACCCTGGAGGCACATCCAATATGCTCTTGCCTCCCACAACCCCCTCCACGTTGTCGGCAACCAATCGATGTGACGAGTACTGCTGTACGTACTGCACGCTTTGACCTGTTGCAAGGCTGACTGAGAAACCCTCCGTCACCGCAGCCGTGTTTGACGTCACCCGGTCTAGGATGGGACCGTCCGTGTATGACCCGGTCTCCATCCATTTCATGGCGACACCGAAGATTTTCAACACATGCAGCATGATCCCTTCCACTGTCTCCCCGGCATAGCGCTGCAACAGACCATCCACCTGCTCGACGATCTGCGAAACCGATGTGTTGCTCTGCAAGCCCAGCTCGCTCCCTACGCTCTCAAGAGTGCTCAGCGCATCGGACATGAAGTCCGTAGTGGCCGGATACGATCCGTACGTGGGCTTCAGCAGCGACAGCATGTACATAATCAGCGTACGAGAATGAGACAAGTCCGTCACATTTGCATTCAGTTGAGCCACAAGCTCCAGTGATACCGAAGTGATAAGCTGGTTGAGTCCTGCTACGTTCTGCGTCTGCGCCTTCTCGCTCATGTCCTGCGTCACGCTGGACCAGTCACTCGCTGCTTGTAACAGCCTTCTCCCCGTCGTCACAGTCTTGACGGTATCCTGCATGACGGACGTGAAGGCGCCTCTGCCGTCCGACACAATCGCGTTCATCTGGATGGCACTGCTTGACGGAAGCCGCATGATCAGGTAGGGCAGCGTCGTGGGCTGAAACCACTTGGTGATTGTCTCCCCGTCCTGCACGTAGGAGAACCCGAACTCGTACGTCAGAGGCGTGTCTGGGTCTATCCAGTTCGCGCAAGTAACGACGAACTCGTCCAGCAGCGGCCTACCTTGCTTCGTGCAGCTCCCAGAGTCTGACACCAGGCAGGCATAGCATGTCCCTCCCTGAGGAGGAGTGTTGACCAAGAAGCTCG